ATATATATATATATATATATATATATATATCTATATATATATATATATATATATATATATATATATATATATATATATATATATATATATATATATATATATATATATATATATATATATATATATATATATATATATATATATATATATATATATATATGTGTGTGTGTGTGTGTGTGTGTGTGTATGTATATATATATATATATATATATATATATATATATATATATATATATATATATATATATATATATATATATATATATATATATATATATATATATATATATATATATATATATATATATATATATATATATATATATATATATATATATATATATATATATATATATATATATATATATATATATATGAATGTAAAACTTCATGTAAAAGGTATCTTAACCTCAATATAGTAGTATATTAATTTTGAACTAATAACAGCAATAATAGATAGAATATATTATAAGAACAAATCAAAATAAGCTAAAATAAACCTCTCAGAACACTCTCAGCAGGTGATGGACTGGTCATTTTCCACCGGGTCTCTGTCTGGATAGTAATGAGCTGTTCTCCCACACCATGTGACCCTCCGTATCAGGTTGGGGTGATGCTCTTGCTCTTGCTCTGCTCAGTCACTTTTTCCATGGTCAATTCCTGCCCAAATATCTCTCACTCTTTAGTGGAGTTCAGTGGTGAAGCTTCGATTGGTGGGTGACTGTAAGCCGGGGTCCAGTTCAGTTTCCCTCTGGATGGCTGATGTGGGTTCTGGAGGTGTAGTGATGAGGGTCAGAATCATAATAACTTCCACATTTGTGTTCAATCTTCACAAATATTTAAAAAGACAGTCTGTATTAGGATTGTGTAATTATTTAAAAATCCGATTTCGATTTTGGCTTCTAACAATTATGAGATCCCATTAATCGAGATAAACGATTATTGCATCATATACCGCCCCCTTTCCAGTTGTACACATTTGTTGCTCTGCAAGGCTCAGTTGCACGTGAAAATGACTGAAAGCATGTACTGTAATGTAACTTTTCCGTACGGGATGCGCATCATTCTTATTTTTAAAACCGTGAAAAAGCACATGCTCTGTGTGTGTGCGCGCCGCGCTTAGCCTCGGAGACGAGCAGAGCACACACACATCTAACGCCATCTTAATGTGAGCGCTTTAATGGTCAAATACATGCACATTTGTGTCAGAGCGCAGTGTTTAGTGATTATTCACTAACCCTCATTTGTGTAATAAACAAACAAGTTGAGAATCAAAAGACATGATGTGAAAGAGAAACCATATCAGAGCCGCACTATTCTTAAAGTGACAGCGCGCGGTATTCCTGCTGCTGCCGACTGTTTTTATCATTAATCAAACAACAAAAGGAGCAAATCCTTTACTGCTCTTGACTGACGGACCTTTAAGTTTTTCTTACAGTGAAGATGCTTAAAGCAGAGTTTAAACAAGATTTAATAACTCATTTATTTTATCTTTGCTATGATTACAGTACATTATATTTTACTACATATTCTTCAAGATACTAGTATTCAGCATAAAGTGACATTCAAAGGCTTGATTTGGGTAATTAGGCCAGTCATTACATAACAGTAGTTTCTTCCGCAGACTATCGAAAATATAGATTCCTAAAGGGGCAAATAATTTTGAGCTATTAAAATAGGTTTAAAAATAAAAATTGCTTTTATTCTAGCCAAAATAAAAGAAATAAGACTTTCTCTAGAAGAAAAAATATTATCAGACATACTGTGAAAAACTCCTCTTATAAACATCATTTGGGAAAAAAAAAAAAAAAATATATATATATATATATATATATATATATATATATATATATATATATATATTAAAATTCACAAAGGCGAATAATAATCGTTTTGAATAATTGTGATTACAATTATGACTAAAATAATCGTAAATATGAATTTTCTCTCAATCGAGCAGCCCTCATCTGTATTTGCATTAATTGACTTGATGCGTAAAATAAGCATGATCCTTACCAAGATAGTGGCTCAGAGCAAAAATGTCACTACAATCAGAGTTTTTGTCTTGTTTAACGAAAAGTAGTTTTCAATGAAGCAATATTTCTTTTCTTTAAACATCTATTTTTTATTCTTTTATCAGAATGAGTTCATGTTGATTGTGTCATTTGTGAACCAAAATATTTGCTTTATATGCAGATATGATGTATTTGTCAATCTCAAAAAAAGTTGATTTTTTTTACATTAATTTAGCATCATATAAATTTGTACTTTTTAATTTAATGGACAAGGATTAAATCTTGGCATGTTGCATTGCTCAGTACACTTTTATTGAGATGTAAGTTGAAACACACTGTGAGGTGATATTCAGCTTGACACGCTCATCTAGGACTCAAAAGGTTATGCTTGTTATACAGGCCATAATGTCATGACAAAATTGAGGCTTTCACTTTCAGCATGATTTTGCATCATAATGAAGGTGATTGTGCTGATCATGCCCTTCTCAATGCTCTTGTTCTTGTAGATACAACACGTTTCCTTGTAATTCATCTTGAAGAGTGAAGTATAGAGTTCCCACAGGTCATGGAATATTAGAAGGCACAGTATGTTTCCAGAGATTTTTGTTTTTACTAGTTAACTGTCTGTTAACTTAGGTTAACTTTACTGTTCAGTGGTGCATCTAATCTGTCTTACTGTTCAAATTGAATACATTTATTTTACCAAAAATTTTGTTATTTTGCCTGTTTTCTTTGTGTATGCATGTTTTTGATTTTGTGATATGTCTTAAATTTAATACTTAATGGTCTTAAAAAGGTCTTAAATTTGACATTGTTATCTGCAGAAACCCTGTACAAAGTGTAAAGTAACAAAAACATTTGTTGTCATTTCGTGAGTGTTGTTTTCAGATTGACCACTACAAAAACTGGGTGTTAAAAGTAGATGAAAAGCTTCTATGGAGCTATCAGATGTGGGAGGGAGAAATTCACAACCACACAAAAACAGTAGGATTCTCAGATTTGTGGTAACACTTTACATTAAGGTTGTATTAGTTATTTTTTGCATTTACTAACATGAACAATACAATTATTGTTGTTTGTCTATGAAAATACAGTTGCACATTGTTAATTTATAGAGCATTCAATGTATTCATAAATGTTGAACGCTGATTAATAAATGCTCTCCTAGTCTTGTTCATACAATAATTAATGCTACCTTAATTTAAAGTGTGACCAGATTTTTCTGAAGTCTGCAGTGGATTATTATGTTGAAACTAACTTCATGCTAAAACAATTTTACTATTATGCAAAGCAGCGCTGTACTGTTTTTTCCCTCATTAGGGATCATGGAAATTCAGCTTCTCTGTGCAAGTCAGGGAATTTGTTACAGTATTTATCCTAAAGTAAGAACTTCAATTTCTACAGCAACAAATGTGTTAATCTGCAAAACGTCTGTGTTGTTAAAAGTGTCTTTATTTGTGTTTAGAGTGTTTCACTTGTGCTCCTTGGATTTATTTTGTTTCAATTTAACCCGTTGCAGGGCTCGAAATTAACCTTTTTTCTTGGTAGCACCGCTGCTAATAACTTAAAATTCAGGCGCACCAGACAAAATTTAGTCGCACCCACCAAAAATGAAGAGCACAGTTACTACACATTTTATATTAACAGATTATAGATTAACACTCTAATCACAACTAACAAACAAAAATCTGCATGCGGTCACTGGCCTTGCACACACTGTTTGACATGAACGAACTGAACTAACAATAATAACTGCTGTTCTCACTTGCTGTATGATATTGACATATAACTTATTATTTGCATTTGTAATCTTAACAGCTATAGTTTTTTTTTTTTCATGAGCTGTAATATTAGCTTCATCTCAGTAAATGCATGCTCTTTAGAGTCGTATGACTGACAGCATCCTGACAATTAAATAACGTTTGAAAATCTTGTGCTTAATGTTGTGATTTAGGTAGCGTTACGATGAATGCTTTAGTCATTTTCATAGCTCACTATAAAAACTGAAAGTCTTTTATCCCCTCTTCGAAAAGTGTAAATGCTGGATTGACATTCATTACATGATCACTAATCAGATGTGTGATTATTTGTAACCTTAGGTGGTTTCTGAAACTAAATCTGTCAGTGTTGTTTTCATTCTCTCTGATCCAGACTTATACGTGATTGACAGCTGATATGAACCAATCCATTCAGGTCTGTTCTAGCGCAGTGGACCAATAAGAAGAGCTTGAAGGCAGGACAAGCATTGCTGGCTTTGTTTACTGCAGCAAGTTGACATGTCAACTATTTTAAACCATTCCTGAGTGGTGTTTTTAGGTACAACGATGCCTAATGTGTGAATGCCTCCTAATTCCACGCATGTGAAAACAACTATCTTATGCACTTGCACAAATGCTCTTAAACAAAATTTGAGGTCGCATAGATAAAATTTCACCTGCATTTGCAAAACGGTCGCAATTTCGAGCCCTGTGTTGAAATGCTTTGCAACTGGTTCCTTTTAACAACTTCTTTTGTAAGAAACAGTGCAATAATCAGTGAACAAACTGGTTTAATAACATTTATTCCAACAAAACAGTACAATAGCATCATCAATCTGTGATGGTAAACTTTTCACACTCACAAAAAAAATTATGTTTCATTTAGCACCTCCAAAATCAGATCGCATTCAAATTTGTAAAAAAACAAAAAAAAAACTCAGCCACTAGAGGAAGAGCATGTTCATCTTCAGCGGTGTTTAACCAGGATATTTGCGACTCCATGAACCTGAGTGAGTTGAGGACAGTCCAGAGTTGCTAGAAGCTTCTGTGGGCCTGAGCGTTTGGGGACAAATATCTCTGTCAGACGAACCGTTGCTCCACCTGTGATATCACTGATAAGAGGAAAAGAAACTATTTAAATATATTTTTAAAAAGCAGAAGCCATTTTTAAAACATGAAATGTATTTAGACCCTTTTCGCCATTCCAGGTTTCTCAGTAGAGGAAGTCGTCACAGCTGGGTAAACTTAGTGCGCAGTGAATGGGAGAGTACAACAGACAAATTTTTTTTTTTTACAATCTTATTTACTCAAATAATAAAAGACAAACTCCACGATGGTGTTATCAAGACTTTCAGAAAAAGGAAACCAATGTGCAAGACTAAAAACAGCAGACAGAAGAGAGAATAATGTTAAATTCACTTTTCTGTCTCAGGTGCTGCATTAGAATCTGTCTTTTGTCAATACATAGAAATGTTCATACATTTAAAAAAAATCTAAATATTAAAAACTTCCAAGGATTTAAGATGCTGATGACCATTAAACGCATCATAACAGGATTGTGAAATGGGTCCATTGTTCATGTCTATTATCGCAATAAAATTTTTGGATGCATTGTCCAGCCCTACTCTTACCCATAGTGGATGGTTTTGACGTGCTGCAGTCCCAGTCCCTCCATCCGGAAGATGACGTTTCTCAGCACAGAGACCAGTGGATTCTGGAACTTGAGTTTGACTTTCAGCTCTTGGCCCACCACAGCATCACCTACAGGCTGAGAGAGAGCATTGCAGACCACACATTAAGAGCACAGTTCACCCCAAACAAGAAAAAGACAAATCTGATGTTTTTCATTTTTGAAAAAAGCTGATTTCTTTTTTATTTGATGCATTAATAAATCAAGATGACACAAGCTCTCAAATGGAATAAGCAGTGTAGCCTACAAATGGCACGTAAAGCACCCTCAACATTAAGCAAACGAAAGGTCAGTTTAATCGCACAGTTGTCAAATCCAGTTTCTGGAGGACCACAGCTCTGTACGGTTTAGTTTCAACCCTAATTAAACACACTAAAGCTGCGATCACACTGGGCTTTTCCTCCCATAGACTTTCATTCATGTGCACGCATCAGACCGGAAATGCGGGGTTATGCGTGAAGTTTCGCAGGTTGCTGCGGTGCAAAGTTCAAGCTTGATAAGCCCTGACCTGACAAATCGCATCACTTGACTGCGTGAGACCAATCGAGGATCAAATCATGACCTTTCTGGACAGAAATTTGAAAACATGGAGCAATCGCTCGCTTTTTAAATGTCTAATAAGCTTGTTTAATCGGGCTCCTTTTTGCAGCGCCGCATGACAGAATATGGCATGCTCAAACTCTAATTTGACCGCAGCTTTACCTGTAGGTTTCAAACAAGCCTGAAGGGCTCAATTAGTTTGATCATGTGTTTTTAATTAGGGTTAAAGCTAAACCTTGCAGAGCTGCAGCCCTCCAGGAACTGGATTTGACACCTGTGATTTAGGGCTACACGACATGGGAATAATTTGACATCGTTTTGCTACGATATGAATGTCATTTCACCAGATGAATTGAATAGCTCTATTTGAAAAGATTTCAGTCATTTAGATCGACTGGGTGGGAAGTCTTTTTCTATGCATCTGCATAAACTATAATAAAAATGACAGTGTTAAAATAAAAAGGTTTGCTGGGGAGAGTAACTTAAAGAGTATTTAAATACAGAAACTGAATAATCAAATGTAAAATAGCATGATTATCATCATTGTATAAATAACATTAAAATATATCATTAATAAACGATCTAATCCTGTGATGTGACTGTGTTTTACCATTAGTTTACTGAGAGGAAATGATGTGCAAAAATAAAGCCCTGCTCTCGACTCAATGTTCAGTTGGAAGTATCTCAGCAACTTCCCTTTCATGCAGACTTTAAACACAGACATATTTAAACCGCTGTCTGCGGTGGACTCACAGTGAGGACGAGGTCTGGTGTGCGCAGTCTGAAGGTGAAGTGTTTGACCAGAGTTTGCTTGGTTTCAGTGATGCGTCCAGACAGCGAGAGAAGCAGTGACGTCTGACCCTCCAGCTCCTCCTTGTACTCCTCATACTGCAGGATCCACTCCAGAGACTGAACTACACACACACACACACACACACACACACACACACACACACACACACACACACACACACACATCAGCATTACAACTTCAGCACAAAATATCCAGTTACTGAATTACATCAAGTTTTATTTATACACTTTTGAAATACTTATTTGAATATTATTTAGTTTTAGAGATGTCGTTGTGTGCATTAAAAGAGTTTTTGCTTGCAGTGTCTCTCTTTATTTGGTTTGGTCTAGATTTACAAGTGTACAACACTATATGACTCACTTCAGTGTTATTTATGCACTCTTAGGTCAACAAGACATTAGAATAAAAGTTCTACACACTTTTTTTGTCTAATAAAAAGAAAACATCCAAAAGAAATTAGTTTATCATGTCACAATGGATATTGATAACAATACATATTTTTTTAAAGGCTGTTTGTTTTATAATATTTTTTTTTCTCTTGTAACGAGTCAGTAATCTACATTTAAGCAGCTCATACAGACACCAAACCACCTCTATTCTAAAGGTTTTTACAGAGGGATTTGACCATAAAAAATTAGTTCACAATATTTTTGAAATTATTTTTTTTTAATCCCCAAATATTAAATTCCTTCTGTTCTAATGTTAAAAAAGAATTGTTATATATAGCGTTTACATGTTTGTGGCAGAAATCTATTAGTGGATATTTAAATAAATAATCTTCCATTTAAATATTTATTTATAATTTGCACAATATTCACTTAGTTTACAAAACAGGTTTGGAACAAGTCAAGCCAAACTATTTAAGTCAAACTATTGGTAAGAAAATATTTTCGATAACTGAAA